GGCGGCGGCGGCGGCGGCGGCAGCGGCGGCCCTACGGCGTCGGAGGAGGAGGCAGCGGCGTCAGAGCAGGCCGGTGATGGCCGAGTGACTTTTCCGGGCTACCTGCAAACAAAGAAACCGCTGCGGTGGCGCCAGGGTGCAAACGTAAGAAGCGGGCAGTTGGCGCCGACAAAAACAGTCGAGAGAAAGAGGCGTGGTCGGGAATCGTTCGACCTGAAATGGGTACACAATCATCATTACAGGTTCCATTTACCCGTCACCTCTCCGGGGTCACTCGGGTCGGTGTGTTTAACTACTTGTATGACGAAACGCTTATGGCATGTTCGAGGTTTAGTTGGTAGTACAGACTCGAAAGGCGACAGGTCGTGATTCCACACTGTTGAAAAATATTGGCAATGTCGACGTCTTTTATTCAAATATGTGTAATCCCAACTGTTCGTCACAAATAACGCAATATATAATACCGATGCTACTTGAACTGTCAGCCAATAACGTATCCCGAAGAAAATCAGGAACCTTCAAGGAACCCTCGAGGAACTCGAGTCCTGAGGGTGAGTGCCCTCGGTGTTTGTCTTCCCTATTGGAAGATGTTATTCCCTTTTCGCCATATCATGGTACTGGTATCCCCAAATCATGGCACCCCAGATTCACAACACTTTATGATTTTCTCTTCCTTCTTCAGGTGCACGGTGCGCCGGTCGCCCTCGTCATTCTTATTATTTTACGTCCTTGTGGCGTTTGTCCACAGCAGAGACTCAAGGATGGTTCATTCATAACACCAGGATGCTTGAACTAATAGGATTTGCACGCGTGTTTGAAATGAAATGAAATGAAATGAAATGGTTCAACGTTTCGCTCTGCAAGCTCTGAATAATAATCGTTAATCACTACACCAAATCCTCAATAAGCTAGAAGGAGAAGTCATCGCTTTTTCGAATAGTAACGAAAGATGTCGTCAGACGAAAATTGGCAAGACTGCGGAGGATCACACCCACCGCCCGAGACGTTGATTTCAACTGCTCGTAGAAAAGCAGTCATTTGCCAGCCAAGATAAAATTAATTCATATCTAAATGCGCCATATACAATTTCCACTCTGAAATGTTCCTATAAGGAATCTAAACCAAGGAAATTGGAAAAGGAACCTTTCCCACGAACATTATTACTATTGCTCATATTGCGCTGCAGATGATGCATGATCACAAATTGTCTGATTTTAAATATCTATTGTTCTATGAAGTTCATAGTCCTTTCATCACTTTCACTTTTGTACCGATTCCATTTCCTCTTTGCGACCTTTTAACCTCAAAGCTGTCGATCCAGATAGCCGAAATCGCTAAGGCAGTAGTGTCGGGGCGATCTCGGACCGAAGGATCGCGGGTTCGAATTCCGCTTCGGGGATGGATCTATTTGTGGTAGTTCCTTCACCCTCCATCATCATCCTATCACTTTATTAAAGAAGGATTAATAATTCCCTGCGCAAGCAGGAGGCCCCTGCCCTTAATGGGTCGTGCAGTTGGCTAATAATAAATACACTTCAATGCTAATATGTCATGCAATACTCCTTGATCAGTAGTATTTATAACTCCAACTAGCATCTTGAGTTCCTATAGTTAGGTTTTTATTCACATTTTCAAACAGCTGCCACACTGTAATTTCATCAAAATTTTGAGAATTGTTTGAATGCGTGAATTGACACTACGGTTTTCTCATGAACTACTGTAGTCCTAAGTATAATTCTACTAAAACATGCTTTTGATCTTCTTGGTAAACCCTATGTTTTTAATGCATGACATGCGACATTCTAGAAACTAATGTACGAGTTCAATCTCTCACAAATACTCCTCAGGGTGTTCTCTTCTTGTGAACGTCTTGTGATCTGAACAAATTCTGTTGATGACAAAAATGACTCGGCGACCTTGCTACCACGAAGTCGCTACCCTGAGGAAGCCTGCGAAATGTCGGGCGAAACGTCGGCACCCCAGCCAACGACGCGGCGTCTCCCGGACAGCCGAGAATTCATGAATTCGAGCCGCGGAAGCTTACGTACACATCTACCACGAAGTCGACTCTCGCCATTTATTCACCGAGTTCTTGTAATGAATCGCGCGTAAACACTCTGGCCAGTAATGCTTCTCTTAACCCTTCACCCCGACACTTACGAAAAGTGACATCTACCAGAGTGCGGAACCATGTATGACTATACTTACGGCTCGGGGGTGATTTCTGGCCCGGTTGCTTGTTTCTTCAAGCACCTCTTTTTTGCCTTCGATCGGTTCTCGGATTCATAACTAGTTATTTTAAATGAACACATGATAATAATGAGAATTATGAGTGTCACATTATTGGCGATCATAGGCACAGGCGGAGGCTCGGACACTATTATCATTAACTCCCATCTTAGACGCAGTGACGGTTTTCCGTCAACATCCACTGTTTGAATCGTAGAACGATCGTGAAGTGGGAATGATTAAGGATTGGATGAAGTCAGGTGAAGTACGTGACAACCAGGGCAAGTCAACCGTGCCATCATTGCATTTCTTACGCGGGACTCGAACCCGCAGCTCCGCGCAATAGAACTAGCCTCTGAACCACCCTTGCAAACTAAAAATGAACACACGGTGAATGATTATTTCTCCAGCAGAATGATTATTCTTTGAAGAGCAATTAGTTTACAGCTTCCTGAGTTTCGTGCCCTCTGACTGGCGGCGAGGTTAGCAGTTGTGTCTGCAAACCGAGATAGCAGTGGGATTCCCGTTAATTTTTTGAGAGTACTAACCTCCTAAGCTGCATCAGCATCCATAGACTATTACTGTCTGTAATTAATGCGGTTTGTTGGGCGCATGCAAATCTCGTTTAGGTCAGCGTGAATTTACAACTGTGCATACAGAATATTCTTGTTCCTGCTATCTCTACTAATGCTAACAATATGTTAATGAATAAATGGAAAACTCTTGGTTAACTGTAGGAGTGATTGGTCATACAAATAATAAATTCATGATAGCTGATCTTTTACTTTGTTCAGGATATCTTCAATTTTATCGCAGAAAAAAACAACCTTTCAGTTCATGTTATATTTATTTACATGTTTATATTTATTATTATCGTGGGCAGAAACAAGCCTCACTCGTTTATCAGAGAAGAAATGTGATATTTCCAGACAATTTTTGTTTTTATCTTTTTTACTTTCATGAAAATTTTATCAATAGTTACAGTAAAATGAGTAGCTCCGTAAAGAGTATTTTCAAACCAAACGTGTTTAACTCAAAATTGAGACGGCGGCGTTTATGGAGTGTGCACGAAAAATGTGTGTTATGAATAATTGTTTGTGGATCAATTTATTTTATGTAATTGTATGGCATTAATACATATAACTTTCACTCAGGTAAAAAATCTGAACAAATTTGAAAATCAATAAAATGGGAAATGATCACATTCCATCCCTTTTCAATATTAATAAGTTAGCCGTATATTTTTGATGAAAGCATTAAAGATATACAGATTTTAAAAAATCTTCATATGCCCTTTGGTTAGATGTTTCACTGAACCGCCAATCACATCGCCGTCCATGTCACAACATTGGATCGCTGATTTTATTTATCATTTGAGGGATTTTTCAATGTCTTACTTTTGTGCTGCCAATAGAATTACTCGGTTTTATGCCAAACCAAACCCAGTAACAGCTGATCCGGTGGTCGAAATCGCTAAGGCAGTAGGGGTGTAGCAAACTCGGGCCGAAGGATCGCGGGTTCGAATTCCACCTTGGGCATAGTTGGATTTGTGTTCGTCCTTTTAACCCCCCACCATATAATTTCATCTAGTTCACAGTTACCCTTAACGTTAACACCAATAATGGTCGCTAGATCTAGGTCATCTAGTTCATTCTAGACATTGGTGCGACCTTAAGTAATAAAAAAAACTAACAATCAATGAAGCCGCAACGATCTACCGACTCCTGATCAGAAATCCTACTTTGTAATACTGGCATCTGCAGCTTTTCAAAAGCTCGATTTACCTAGTCTTACTCTGACAGCTTCAAATGAAGTTTCACCGCGTGTAATCACTGGCACTACATTCACTGACGACCTGTCCAGGTCACTAACTCGTCTCAGTGTAGCCTGCCGTGACGTCAAGGCGCAGACATGGCATACATTTAATGTTGTAAATTAAATTCCCTCGTTTGGAAATGTCCGCAGGACCAATATTTACTACATAATAATCTACGTCATTAGACCACCGAACTTATTTAACATGAGAGTAGTGTAACTAATTTGATTTATAGTCGTCAAAAAAAGTAAACGCTATTTGTGACGCATGGGGAATAAATATAAACTGCGCACGTTCCCTTGAGCTCCAGATCCCTACTCCACCCTCTTACTTAACATAGCTGACTGGTGAATGGTACCAACAAGGTGTCGTTAGTAATATTTGAAATCTAGAAATCTTCGCACACGAGTTACATAATTTATTTGTATCGGTAAACGAATTGCATATTTTATTTTATTGATTTGCTAACAAAATAACAACTAAACCCTCGTCTTTACTCGTATCGTGACTACCTAAAGGAGAGCTCAACAACGTGCGCGAAGTGAAACAACATTTATGTCCAGAAGCAATAAAGAACCATTTCAGCATTTGCTTAATGAGTCAAGGAAACTGGATGAAACCCCTGATCGAGATGGGTCTTGCTAGGTCTTGTTACCAACACAACATGCAGGCCACCGCGGCAAACCTACGACATACCGTCAAAAAAGCAACGGCATCTGACTATCTCCGAATGAAGCGATCTGAACTTCGAACTTCGGACGGCAAATAGACTTTCCGCCACCTCTCGAGAGACCGATTTCCCTCTATTCAACCTCGTCACAGCTCGAACTTTCGCAGCGGGCAAGTGCTGACGCGCGACTGACGTCGGGAGCCCAGCACGCCTCTCCACGCGCGTCGGCTCCTGCCCGTCTGGGCATCGCCCGCCGTGACGTCACGGCGACGAGAGCCCGCTCCCGCCGCCGCCCCGCACGCGGAGTTGTTTTTCTCCCTCGCGGGAGCCGGTCGGCCGCGCGGCGCGGCGCGGCGCAAGGTGGTTCCGTGTAGGATGCGCAGCGCGAGATGTGCCCGATACGCGAACCGGCTCCCACGAACACGGACACGCACGCGCACGCGGGGGCTCATTGAATCGCACGCCACAGCGCGTAGGGCTTCGCTTGGTACTACGGTCTCTCAAGGAGACGAGAAATAGATTGAACGGACAATGTTAAATTTCGGGTATTTATGTGCAGGTTTTAAGAAACTTTACGACTTATTTTCTTTAAATTTTTAGTCCGTTACATGAACTTTGCCGTTGGCTGATTTAGAATCTATTGAAATGTTTATAAGGTTTTAGATTTTTTTCCCCTCAACTAGTATTTTTTTCTTTTCTTCCCAATATTAAAGTTAGAGAGAGAAAGTATTGGAATTACCTCAACAATATGATCTCGAATTTTTGATCGTAAAATACGTGTTTGAGGTTCTTTTGAGCATGCAACTTCCCGTATACGTCACGGTAAGGACAATTAGCGCTTTTAATATTTGAGAAGGAGGGAAGACGATTCTCTTAGTTTTACACTCCAAAATCTGTATGGAAATGTCACGTATAATTTCGCCACAGTAAACTATTTCGAATCCAAACTTGGTAAATACGCGAGGAGTGAGATCTATTGCGTTGTTCCGGGTATAAACAAGGTATTTTAATGTTGAGGTACTTTACATAACCCTGCAATATTTTTAAAATTTTCTGGAAATGACTGCGAATATTTTCTTTATTTGTTTCTCTCTATCATAAAAATGCTATAAAATACATACTACTGTACAACTTAACATTTATATTATACATAGTTATTTCTATATGGCCTTACAACCCGTCACTTCTCAATCACTTGTTTCTATGCTGAGTTTCTGGAACAATAAATTGTTGAAACAAGTGGATTGAAAGAAAATGAGAATTTCAGAAGCGGCTATTCTGATTTCTGATTTCATCTTTCCTCGACCACTTGAGGCGAGTGCATTTGTGTAAAATGCGAGTCTATGTGATATTCGACTCTGGCGAATAGAGGAAGTAAGGAGCTGTCGGCTGCTTTTGGTGGGCCATTTATTTTGATATTTACCATTTCTGAAGAGATAGGACAGAGCTAAATTCAAGAAGAATCTATATTAAGCAAAATTATCATAGATCCTCCACTTCCTTTTAACCTCATTATTTTCGAGAATGGTAACAATATCGCTACATTCACTACAATGTATTCTTGAATGAAATTCCTTCATTGCAAATGTCTACAACTAGGATAACAAATATTACAGCTCGCCTCAAAGACATTTGGATCCTTTCGAAAAGCACTTGTCGCAGGTTGGGAGACACCTACGGTTTTCTTGGGAAATGCAGACACTTGTCGCAGTAACCAGTCATATCGCGGTACAAGAAGAAGGGCAATTTTAGAGGAGAACCAAAAATGCAGTGCTTTATATACGGACTGGGTAGTCATAGATGTTGGGCATTGGCTATGACCATAACTACAATTGTCAATGTTCCCTCATAGTATTTCTGGCTTTATATCCTGCTGCTGTGTATTGGAGTCAATTTTACACAATTTTGCAGTTGTGTCAATGTCCTTCTCACCAGTGACACGTTGAGTACTCAGTCATGCATATACTTTAAATTGCGCTAAACGAAGCTGCCTTTTCCCTGTCGAGAGTTGGAGGAGTCCGCGACGAATCACCTGAATCAAATAATTTCAAAATTTAATGTTTTCTCGTGGAAATTAGAAACTAGAATATTTCAATAGGCCCCGAGAGTGGAAACACATTTTTCTTCGAGTGCCAAGATGAGCGAGTTTCTCGAGATCAGGCACGAATATCCGTGAGATGAGAGTGTCTTATGCAAAAGGACTCAATTGAATGCAGTCGCTTCATTTGCCGGTAGAGAATTCATGAGAGAGCGTTCTTGTAGACAGGTAGGTTGAGGGGTTGAAATGTGACATTTCTGCTATATAATTATCTTCAAAATATACGAGTTAAAATCAAAGACAACTCAAAACTCAAAGGAATACTCAAAAACTTTATTGTCGATACCTGCGAACTCTTTCAAATATGATCCTAACCTCTCGAGATATATTCGCACAAAATCCTCTAGTATACGTCAAAAAAAATAATATGGTCAATGATATGACTGAAGAGTGGTCATTTCTATTAGAGAATTCTCACATGGATAATTAAGTACCTAGGTATTGTTAGTTTCCAGACGTTTTCTATCACAAACAAAATACTCGTAGTTCAAGGGCTTCATATATAATATTTAAGTTTTATTTCAATTTATACTATTATAGAACGAATAGTACTCAATCTTTAAGTAAAGATAAAATTTGACATTATTATCAACGGGAAAAAGATAAGTAATTTGTATGAGTAAGTAAAATTTCTTACATCGCCACAAATGTGTGGAAACGAATGTATGGAATAATTCTACATTCAATATATTTCTTCTAAGACGATGAAGCTGTGTCTTCAGAAAGGAACATGTAAACATTATTTCAGAATATAATTATTTCTGCTTATAATGAAATTTGAAAAACGGAATAAATTTTAAAAAAATTGTTTATGACTCCAACTGCACCTTTTCTATTACCTTCTCAGAAAAGTCACAAATGAATGCAAGAATGATTATTCAAAGAAGCAGTTACGATGTACGTAAACAGATCTTGTACTGAGTCATTCCATGTTGGTCTAAGGTCCCCTGGTACAGTTTGTTCAATTCCACAAGCATCTTCTGCCGTCACACAAAGCAGAATTGACTTTACGGCGTCAAAAACATCTAGAAAATATTGATTACGTACAATTAAATTACTATTATGTTCTGAGTCATTAATGAGTGTTTCTCGAGAATCGTGGAAATACATCTGATCTTATTTTATTAAAATAATCTGCGTGTCTTGTACGAAATACGATTTTTTTTCTTTAATCATTGATGCATTTATCACCCATTAAGCGCCAATGAAAATCCTACAATATCAAAATATAACGCCCATTAAAATGCAAAGAAAATTATCACAATTAACATGAATGTATGATCTCCTAATTGATTTACAATCTGAAAACAATTCCTATAATTTTACTTTTAACATTTTTTATGTTATCGCAAAATTTTTTCCAGAAAATAAATAACACGAGATATTTTGTATCAATATAGGCAATAAAAACGTCTAAAGTATTTACACATTACGATCCACAAATGTAAACGAAATACGTCTACTCTGTCAAGTTAAGAGAATTGTCACCGAAGTAAAATATGAAGTTAATACCAAAATTAAATCCGATCGTTATAATGATATCAATTACCTACACATTTTCCCACTTCACAACAAGCCTTCACCTGGAAATTCGCAGTAATGACAGTCATTTAAGACTATAGGAGATATATCATATGAGAATGAGAAATCGCTCATTACCCGACTCGACAGAAGGGAAACGGGAGCACGCTAGAGAAAGACGGATCGCGCGGGGTCCACGGCCCGTTGTTTCGCGTACTACTCCAGCATTCGCCTGAAATTGGTCGGAGAAAGCCACTGAAACGACGAATCGGAGCAACAGACCTCTGGGATACATGTGAAGGCCGGCTACGACCTACCTTCATGACTAGCATTGAAAATTCGTCACTGCTGAGACTCGAACTAAGGATCTCCCAGACAACGAAACTAACTATAGTCTCGCAACTACATACACGGGCTCTAACCTAACCAGCATCCATACCTGATTTGTTGGCACTAAGGCTATTTTTTGAGTATGGACAGTTTGTGAATACAGAAATGTTCGGGCGCGTGGAAATGCACAGGCTTCCGATGTTCTTGGACCAGTGTGCTCAGAAGCAATCCGACGGCTTCGTAGTGAAACATCGAAATGCTCTAGGAATTCGATCGTCCCGCCCACGGAGAAATGCAGTCAGCCATCTTGTTCTAACCAAGAAAAACATGAAAACTGGAAAATCATTACCAGATGTGTGAATGTTATGGTTATAATGCAAGCGAAAACTGGTTTGTTTACAGGAGGTTGGGAAAATGTCTAGTTCTGGTAGGCCGTTAGTAATCACAGACGATTTGATGCAGGCACGTGGCACTGACATATGCTCTCAGGATCCTTATAATTTATGAATTTTGACAAACTGTGAACGCTACTGAAACGTATTTATTCTCTTTGGAATGTTCTAACCGTATACAAATGAAAAACAATTTACAGGAAACGTAAAGTAACCACATCTGGGAAGTTCCAAGTTTTCTATGACTCGGTTGGGTTTTTTCTTTCTGATTTCTATTTACCCTTCCTGATTCATAGACGTAGCTCAGATAATATTTTTATTTTGTGGGAGCGATCTGACCACTCAATATCATAGATGATCATCGACACGCAATTTAATTAATTTTGAAATGAAAGTCTAAGTAGATATTGCTTTCACTGTCACTCCGACATCTATTCAACATCGCGAATTCAAACCAGCAATTCTTCCTCCCCAGCAATGATTATGATTTCCTTCGAAAATCAAGTAACGTATTATCCTAAAACAGAACAAACTTAGGCCAAAAAGTATCGGTCGATGTTTGGAGATGCCATGACATGTCTGGAATCAAGAATGGCGTGTGCAAACTGTGATACATTTCGAAAAATTATACGAAGTTTTTTCCTCGAAATAAATTGTTTGCACTACTTTTATCATATTTACAAGAAAATGTCGATAAAATCGAAATTATTTCTAAAACTATCGTCATAATTGAGCGTGAAAAACTCTTTATGTAAGTGTACTAGACGAAAACAGATTGTACCCGTATTGATAAGGCAAGATAAAGTAGAACATACTAAATACTGCATACATTTTAATGACATTAACTTAATCATAATTTATATCAAAAAATTTGCCAGTACAAATGCATTTATTATTTATTAATTTAAAGAAAAGTTGTTTACAAATATTTGTGCGTGAATAAATTCGAGCATTTACTCAGGCAAATATTATTAATAGATTATTTGACAACTCATAATACTGTGACGTAGTGAAGTGAGAAATAAATTCAAATACACTACTAACACAAATAATAACCACAGAAGTAAGAGTCCCGTAATGATACTCCGTGACTGAAACCTCTCGTTTTTTG